TGTAAATAGCAGGCAAAACTTAAACATGTTCTCTTTCTGAAATATATGCTCACATGACTTCATAAAATGTCACAAAGAAATTAGTATTACAGCTGCAAGTTACTATTTTTTTTTAAGATTTATGTTTTTTATTTATGCATACAAGAACTGGGACCTAAGCCAGGAGTGTTGATTCCCCTGAGCTGATTCACCAGAGACAGAACTAGGAGCAGAACAGGTGGATCTACTGAAATACACTGCTGAGAGGAGCAGCGGGTGAGACAGATCCCTGGCCAGAGATTGAATTCATGCTGTAGTAGCTGCAGATATCTTCATAGTGCTCTGACTTGAACCCTTGAGTCAACAGAGAGGCCCACAAATTTCATAATTTCTATGTTATTTTTAAATGATGACATCCAAAAAAACTTAAGATGTTGTTGTTTCTTGGGTGGGATCTCAAATTGAAGGGACTGGTAGACAGTAACTGAAAGCCTTGTGGAGGCCACCACTCTTTTTGTTACTAATAGCAATGACTGGACTCCTACTAATGAAGCTGGTGATACTATCCTAGAAAGAGAGACCACATTCCATTCTTTTTTAAATCCTGAATCATTGTGACCACATAATTTCTATATTTTGGCATATGATAAATATTATTGAGTGGTTCAATTTTGAAATTCAAATTCAACACTCAATTATCTAGTGATTATTATGTATTAGGGGCTAAAGACATACTTCCATGTTCTATCATTCAATCATAGTACATCCTTAGGATATAGGATAAGTTATCACAGTGAAAGTATCTCAAACTCACAGGCTGTGAGTACTTTTCCCTCAAATAATAGTCCAGATTATAGTCCACTAGGCAGTCCAGGGTTTGTTGATGGCACTGCCATCTTTAACACGTGGTTTCCATCTTGGGTCCAACATGGCTGTTCTAGCCAAGGGCAGAAGGAAAAACCAAGATAGCCATCCATGTTTCTAAGTGCACAACCAGAAGTGAAAAAAATGTTTTGCACAAATATTACTAATCAGAATTTAGTCACATGACTATAAACAAAACACAAAGCATGCTGGGAAATGTAACCTGTAACAAGGTGGTCAAGTATCTATCTAAAACTGGGGACTAACCAACTTCATCTATCTATAATAATTTAAAGTTGCAAGGTCAAACCTTAATTCATCCACGAGATGACATTCTTTTTACTCAAGTTGAAGGAAAATTGTAAACCAATTCATTTAAATGTCATTAGAGAAAAATAAAGTGAGGGTAGAATTTTAATTGCATTCTCTTTTTAAAAGAAAGTCATTATTTCTTTATAGAAATAATGCTGATTTTGCTACCTGGTTATTATAAGCATTGTGCTATTTACATTTCTCTTGTAGTTACTTCCCTTGGGAATTTTTCCCATTTAGATAATACTTCAGGATTTGGTAAAAATTAGTAAAAATAAAACTGAGGATTGATATTTTAATCCAGGTAGAATGTATATTGATGTCCTTGTCTCATAAAACACTGCCTATCTATAGATTTTTGTTGTTGTTATTCTTGACCGACAGAAACATGCTATTTATTACCCAAAGAGACTCCATTTTGTCATTGTATTCAGAATTATGTTAGATCTGAAAGAGTACCTCAATGTATCAGAGTTTGGCAATGATTTCTTAACTTACAGAAAGAAAGATACACATTCAGCAACTAGAATGTTTGTGTTCCCCATCCAAGCACAGATTTTTTGGTGTGGAGGGACTTAGAAGGCAACATTGTAGTGTATGCTAACATATACTGAGGTATCTAAGCTGGGCCAGCCACTGTGTTAGGTATTTTTCACAAGAATCTAAATTTATATATACCTCCAACCCAATGACACAAGGATTAATCAGACCATTTTACGGGCAAGAAAACACAATAGTAGAGATTAAGTTAATTAAGATACAGTAAAGCTGATTTCTATTTGATTCTGAAGAGCTGTTTTCACCATACTCTACTGCTATATGAGGGTTTTTCTAGTAGCATCTAGATAGCCTTTGTGATGTTTTAGCAACCAGTGTCTCTTTATACATATTTTGCTACGACACTTCTTGCTGCAGATAGACATTCTTAGTATCAAAGACTGTCCTCTCCAGATTCCCTCCATCTCCTGGTATTCAAAGGATCATGCCTTGTTCATTTTACAAAGTTGAGTACAGCACAAGGCTTAGTGTTTGTTATATGCTAAAACACATGAGTAAACAAGTAAATAAAAAGACCCCTTCACATACAGTTAAAATTCCCATCCTCATATCTCCAACTCTTCCACTCAAAGCTTAGCCCACATCCAATTTTACCACATTAAATATCTTACTCTAATTTCTTGGTTTCCAACTGCAGTGCCCGTTGGAAAATATTTCCAGTTGATTCCCAACATCCTGGAAAGGTCTTCCAGGGTTGAGATTTTGTTTCAATTTAACCTTAGTCCACCCTGATCCCTGCTAATGTATTTCCTTTTTCTTCATGTCCAGAGACTACAGTAAAAAGAAATCACCCCTTTCCAATATACTCTAAAATGAGGCCTCAAGATTCCAGGGAAGGGAACCAATGCCAACTCCAGGCTGAGGTCATAATTCTGTTATAGGACATTTTGCTCATTACCTCAATGCTGATGTAAACTCCCTGCAATGATGCTCAGGCAGGCCTGGGTGGGCCTGGCCTCATTCCCCAGCCACAGCTCCATGAAAGAAGGAGCTGGAAACCAAAAAGTATCCTTTAAAAGGCCTGCACCAGTAATTCAAATGATGGGTGTGTGGGTAGAAGTAATCAAATAAAATCAGCAAGTGCCCTTAGATGCAAGGCTGTCTGCCACAAATTGGGGGGAAGGGGCAACAAAATGGAAGAAGAGACCCTTTTCACATTAACCAGCCCACTCCTTTCACCATGTGTTTGAGTTTGTAACAAATACCAGTGAGTTATATTAGGTCTCAGTATCCTCATTTGAAAAGTGGCAGAATTGGCTGCATTCTGTAAATGAACCCTTAATGCGGATGAGAATATCTATCCTTCCTTCCTCCAGATATCATATTAAGTCAACCACTACAAATTAGAAGTTTATATGAAATTACCTTAAAGACTCCATGCAAATTTTGCATTTAGGTTCACCATGCATTCCAGGCTATTTCTATACACAGGCTCTTCTTTCCACGGAGGGCTGGCAGAAAAGTCTGTACTGGTAGGGGTAGCCAGTACTTAACAAAAGCTCAAGGGTGGGTGATGTGTGATGTTCTTTCTAGATCCAAACTTCTCTTATGAGGAGTCAGAAATAAATAATAAGAGAATCAGCACAGGAAGATGTATTTGACTCTAAGGGTGTACAAGTTCAATTCCCTCTCAAAACCACAACAAAATAAAACACTTTTCAGAAGAATCTCCAAGGCACACTTACACTCATGCAGTTGGAAACCCTGAGATGAATTACATGCAGTTTATCAATAAATTGTAAAATTTGGTATAAATGAGAGCCATTATCATGAGTAGGGACCATAAACCTGCAGTCTTTACCACACAGGGTGGCTTAAATGAGAGCATGAGTATTGCTTTATGAAACTTAGGGGCTAAGGTTATCAGACCAGTTTGCATGGAAGGAGCTGCAGGTCTCTCATTTTGAGCCTCAGCACAGGGGTGGGCCAGGTGTGCAAAGGTCCTATAACTTATATAGCCCTGGAGGGAGGCCCAGCTAGCCTGCAAAGGATTCTCCAAACTTCCTCCTCCTTCTCCCAGTAGTTCAGACCCTGGCTGTGAGCTCTTCTCCAGCAGACACCAAGGATTTCTCCCTGGTCCTTCACTCACTCACTATAGGACATCTGCTAGCAAAAGAGAGATCTGATAATGAAATTATCAGATTATGAATTCCAAAAACCCTTGCAAATAGAGGTTTTCCTGGCCCAGCCCAGACACCCAGGGCCCCCCATGTAGTTTTCTTTTACAAGGACAAAGCTTTTGAAGAAATCCCCCATCTCTTCAGCCTCTCCTAGAATTGCTTCCCTATAGCAAAACATATTGTTCCAGAGTTCTTTTGGAGCCCCAGCCTGACAAGTTAACACAACAAATCATTAATTAAAGTTTGATAAAAATAGATTTGGGCTGTATTCATTTTTATGTCCTTCCCCCCTACATTCCTGGCCACATTGGCGGGGTTAAGATGCAACTGAAGTTTGAAAAGGCGGCAGGGTTTTCCAACATACTGGCATTTCAACAGCCCCCTTTATTCATTCAACAAATACTGAATGCTTTCTACGTGCAGGGACTATTCAGAGAGGCAATATAGGGCCGTAGCTTTCATACTTTAGGGAACTTCAGCATCAGTTCCAAAACTTAACTAAAACACAAAGTTCTGAATCCTAAATTAGGATTCAGGCGATCTGGGCGGTTAGAATCTACATTCTAAGGAGTTCCCAAGTAAGGCTGCTCTGGGACCCTAGTTTGAGAACCACTGGTATAGGACGAGGCAGGGACCAAGTCCCAGCTCTTACAGGAGGCACACTGTCTGGTCGGTGGGAACACCAAAGAGACTCGCACGGGGAGCTTTCAGGCACCTGGGCCAGGCCAGTGGGGGAGGGGGGGGGGAAGCAGGAGGCACAGAGCCGCCCAACTGCTGTCTGTGCTGCCACCCCAAAGTCAGCGACTGACAGTCAGAGCTGCTGCGCCCCAGCCCTCCGGTGGCATCAGCAGAGGGCCGACCGGAGCAAGGAGCCCTGGGATCTCTCCAGCGGCTGGGGCCTGGCTGGCACGGGCGCGCTGCAGGCAGTCTCTGGGTTCCCGCGGATCCTTAGGACCGCCTCTGCCGGGCAAGCGCCGGGGTGGCCTTGCCGTTCGCGGCCCCGCCTGCGCGGGCGCTGGGCGGGCG